TGAGGTTTTTTCGATAAATGGAAAATTGGGAGCATCGGTGATGTTTAGCTTCATTTCCAGATTTCAGACTGCGTAACTTGAACTCCTGACCTGAAGGTGTGGCATTCCGGCCATGCCCCTACCCCCCCACCGGTCCTTCTACATAATCATAACAGGTCATCTTCCATGTTAGCATGGCTAATTACGACTGCAGAAACGACTGAGGTTGCTGATATTCAAGATGGAAAGTGGGCGTATAGGCATTGGCACACTCAAGCATTTAGATGTAAGGCAGATGTTAGCATTGCAGTTTTCTAGGGAAAATTGCTACCAAATGATATTGCTGAGGGATTTCGTTCGCGACACGATCTGAAGAATCAGTTCGCAGGTGTGCTCTCTGTGTCCACTTAGGGTCGTACTCACCTGAATTATTAATGTGAAATGCTTTTTTTAAATTTTGTATTCCGCTTTTAATTGAACTGAAAACACATGGTTTAGAACATCTCAACAAGGAGGAACCAATATGGCCTTAAAATACTCTCTAACAAATGACCGATTTAGCATGACAAGTGGGATTTGTAGTTCCAACCTAGATCAGGTTGGAACCGCCATTGGTTCGTACAACACATTGGAAATGAACAAATTTACCGATTATTTGTGAGTTTTACGAGTACTTGATGGACTTGGTGTGAAATGTATGTCATCCCCCAAAACCTCTCATTTCATCAGTCACTGAAGTAATCGGAAACCAAATGGTAACTTGCTGAGTAGGTATAGTGAAATGACTGTTTTGGTGTCGTTTACATTAGCATTGTAGAACATCCTCCGATTGCCAAAATTGATTAGCTAATCAAAAGCAGGTAAAAATAGGTAAAACTGTAAAATGGACAAAACACGCAGAACTTGAAGGAACCGTGTATTTCAGCAGAAGCCGCTGCAGTTCATGAAATAGAGATCTGGTATAATTTTTGCAAAGTTTGTGCAATGAATGGAGGAAACGCCTTAATACAGGTGCTCTAAGTACGTCTAAAGGCTCTGCACAAAGGGTAGGGCGATTTGTATGTGTATAAGGAAGTGTGGCTGATCTCTTACCCAAAAATGGAACTAAATTGATATGTAATGCGGTTTTAGTAAAAGGACCACTTTAGGTCTCCGCCATTGTATCTTCGCCGGGTGGATCTGCCTCCGGACATGCCGGTAATAAAAGCCCCGCTGATTTTGAATATATGCGCTCGGCATGAGTATTGTCTTTTTTGTTTTCAGGAAAGTATCGGGATGCTACAATAGATTTCCTTGAAATCACTCGTAGATTTCTTCAAGTATTCACATACAAAGTAGTTGAAAACTGTCCCTAAAAATAATTTAGATGCGGAAATCAGCGTATGCACAAATTGAAAAAATTCGGACATTTAAAAATCCCTTGAGGAAATGGAATAGAATGGGTAAAAAGAGATTTGAGAATCCAAAATCTATGGTTTGCGGGTACAAGTATGTGCCACATGGTTTAGAATTGCACAGGCACTTGAGTTTCCACAGGCTGCATTACTGCTCCTCACTATGGTTTGGGGTCATGTCAATAGCCACCAATATATGCCCTTCAACAGTGCTTTAAATTCGTTAGGACTTCTGGGAGGACTAGGAACGCCACATATATTTGTACCAATTATGGTGTATAAAAAACTCCATAAAATACTTAATAAACACTTGATTACTAGTGTGGGAGTGAAGTGGCGGAGGAAAGGACAAATAGTCTGGTTTCCGTTGCTGGATGATAAACCTTAATGTCATGAAAGAGCCTGTGAATGCTCCTAACAAAGGGACAAAAAGTACTTTGACCTTCTGTAACTGACCTAGCTTCGCAGTCTGCGGGAAAGCTATTAACAACTGAAGCGATGCTTAACGTGAACCGCCTAAAAAGTTTGTCACGGGGCTGTCCACGGTACCTGTATTAAAATGTCACCTATGTGAATTCGCGACACATCCTCTACTTTTCTAGTAGCTGAGTAGAATCCAAATAGATATGCTCCGGTGGTAAGGATGAATAGAGGAGAAAAATTACCTGTATGGAACATTTTAATCATGCCTTTTATCAAAGAATCTGCTTTTAAGTCGGCATCCCTATGACTATTGGTGGATACATGATTTGGTCTTGTTGTGGAGCATCGTCTAATCTCCATCAGTCCGAGGACAGGGCATTTTCCCCCTTCTCCGAAGTGGTGCCTAAACAAAACAAAATTTTAGATTTAGCAAAATTATCAAGACGATTCATTGCCATTGGAACCAAATATCCTCCCAGTCACACGAAAGTTTGATGGCTGGCGCTGCTGATTCGTGGATTTTTGCCTGCATCACCGACTACTTTATAATGTACGACTCGGAGGGCTCACCAAGTGGATTACGGGAGCCGATACTCGAAGAAAGGGAGAGGCTGTATAATGCCATACTAGTTTATGTAAATCTGCATCTGATTAGGAAATACCTAGATCTCTGCCGATTGTGCTTCCGCTCAGCCGCATGGACGCTGGATTATGGCAGTAGACTCCCAATTCTCATGTACATTGGTAATACATTTACTGCCATGCAATTATGGCTCCTGACCTGGGAAGAAAATTAGATTATACGGAACTTTTTTCAAGGCATCCTGCTTTGCCAAGTGTATTTTGGCACTCCAAGACTTCCCTGAAGACAAAAAAGACATAATACTCGAGCAGAAGATATATACACATATATTCAACCTGCAGTAGGGACTGGGCTGCTGGCATGGCCCAGACGCCAGCTCACCCGGCGAAGGCGCAATAATGACAATTTAAGTGATCCTTTTACCCAAACTGCGAGTTAGCAAACAACTAACGTATTACAACATTCTATGAATCCAACGCACGTTGGTAATGTTCGCCATAAAATGATTTGGAGCAGAATAGAGCTGCATCAATAGATGAAAGTGCTGCAATAAATTTTGTGGGATTAAAATTTGCCTTAAGTATTAGAATATTCTTTATGGTATTTTAATTTCAGCTTCCTGGAATGCATTTTGTTGAAGCTGTCATTTTACCATCGCGGTCTGAAGGATCCCTATTGGCTATCCCCGTTAACTAAAGTATGTCTGTGTATATTGATTTCGATAATGTTAGAATAAGGAGTCCTGAACTTATTATTTCACTCTAGCACACTTCATAAGAGTGCATTGGTTGTTGTCAGGGCCGAGTTTCTTTTGTAGATTCCAATGTCGTCTGTGGGTTGTTCTTCCCCAAACCAATATGCACATCTCAACGGCAGACCTAGCACATCGGGTGATCAGCAACCTCAGGCCGCAAATGAGACTGGACGCTCTTCTGTCGATCCAAAGCTTATCATTCGGATTGGTGCTAAGCAGATAATAAGGTGCATTCTTTATTAACGTATTGGAGATACAGGAGGTCCACACCACACACCCACGCACACGCGTACATAGCTGTATACATACATATGCCGAAAATTGCTCATATGATCTTATTACTTCTCATTCATCCCTGTCCTCTTTTATGTTTTAAATTGTGTGAATTTAATCTCTCTTTTCTAGCCTTTTTATTCCGGTGTCAATATGCATGTTTCTTGTGGTCTTCATCAGCAAAACCGTGCCCTACTTTTCCACAACTGACGTCTATCTTATTTATACACCCTTTCACACACCGAACGCAGACATCGGCACCCAGACCTGGCAAACCCTTGCAAATGTGGTCATATTTTTGAGCGTCATAGTTGTCATGACTTTCCTTCTTGTGCTGTTATTCAAATTCAAGTGCTACAAGGTAGGTTTATTCCTGAGTATACTAAATTTGAGGTAAGAACCTTGACCCCCTGTTTCTATATTCAAAGATTGATGTAAAATAATTTTACTAAAATGTCATGCCAATTTGGGTTCTTAGCCTAAAGTGCTCTTTCGACTTCATCTTGATATGAGTTTGTTAGTGTGAATTTGAGAAATCACTTGAATTATGGATGTTTATCGTGCAGTTTCACTGTGTTGACCTATCAATTAACGAATAAATAGTTTTACCTAGTGCCTCACGGGTTGGCTTGTCGCGACTACATTCCTTCTTGTCTTCGTCATTTCATTTACGTTTTTCACGTGAGTTAAACCTTTTTCTCTACCTTTTTGAGACAAAAAACTGGTTCGTTGGAGATGTCATCAATTTGGAATAAATTTTACTGCTTTTTTTCCTCGGTTTTCATACTAGGATATTTTCATTTTCAACACTAGTTTCTCATTTATTGTGATCACTTTACTTCCCGCCTTGTGTTCTCTGGACTTACCACGTAGTTTTAGGCAGCCAAAACTGTGATTATGATGCTGTTTTATTTATGACTTGTCCGAATGACATTAGGAAGTGCTCACGCCATACGCTCATTTGCCGATGTTTTTTTTACATTGGCGAGCTTTTTGTCCAAGTAAATGCCGCTCAGTAAATTGACATTAATTTCTTTCCAGGGAATTACTGCGGGCTTCTATGATTTTCTTCGATAACATCACGTTTGCCATTCTTCTGTGGAATTTTGGAGTACTGGGCCTCATATCCATTCACTGGCGTAGCCCTCTTATCTTGCAACAGGCCTACCTCATCTTCAACAGCGTCCAAATGGCCCTTATCTTCCTCAAATTTTTGCCTAAGTGGACCTGCTGGGTCCTCCTCGGAGCGCTGGCCATCTGGGGTAGGATACTTATTCACTCCCTCACTATGCTTAAATTCCTTTGGTCTGGCACCGTAACATTTTCGTACAACCTACCTGTTCTATTCACTTCCTAGCGTACACTTTCATTAGAAATGCCTCGGCACCAATTAACGTTTTTGTTAATTTTCAGCGGTTTCCGTTCTCTATAGTGAATTAGTTTATCGCGTGTATGGGGGGTCAGCATTATCGGTTCGCTTGCTTGTAGACTTGATAGCAGTCCTCTGTCCACGAGGTCCCCTTCGCATGCTGGTGGAGATGGCGCAGGAACGCAATCAGCCACTCTTTCCTGCTATGGTCTATTCCACAACCACCGCCTACATCGCCACGACGCAGCCGGTGGCGATGATGGGGGACGAGGAAACTCACTCGACGCACGTGGGTCCTGCCGTTAAACCGACGGAAGAGCACGCTTATCTTAGTCAACCATCTCCTCAACAGCCCTCCTCTCTCGCGCCTCTCCTCGAAATGGGTACGCCTCCCTATCTGCCCCTTGGGTCAAGTTTCTAATTGAGGTTACTTCCAACCAGTGGGGTTTACTGATCTTAAAATCATAATGTAGCGATTTTACATGCCTTGTCTTTCGTCAGCGTGAGCTACAAGAATTGCGAGAATTACAGCACATAGTTCAAATGTATCTTTTCAGGTGCTAATAATTGACTACACATCACATGCTTGTATGCTTGATGAATCTACGACTCCGGTTTGTTATTACGGTTTATAACGAATGCACTTGTCTCGACCTACCTTCCCTGAAATGCGTTTAGGAAATGAGTCATCGCTTATCATGGTTAAGCGATTATCCTCTAGGTTATCCTCTCCGTTGATTAGTTTAGCAAGTCTTTTACTTTCCCAATGACTTCATGAGATGATAGATCTTTTGCTTGGGGGCGAAATTCAGAAGAAATTGGGTTGTCATTGTTTTGCTATCCAGTGGGCGAAGGTATTGGTGTCTGTTTGTTATGCCACTTTTTGGTCCCCTATCTAATCTAGTGTCCCATCTTGGGCATATTTGATACCTGACTATCTACAGATTGCGCAACTATTAGCGCTCCCTTTTACACTTGTACAATTCACCTTCATAAAACTTAGATTGGTTTACTGTGCTTCTTAGGTAATTTGTCAGGCAACTCGACTCAACCAAGTGAGATGGCCAACGTAAGCCTTTTTAGAAATGTTATTGCGAAATTGCATTTGATTTTCCGAGTGCTGCCTGCCACTTGATGGTTGTCGGCAGTCTGATGATGAGAAAATATCACGAATTGCACAAAAAACCGACACACTTTTAGGTGCTTTAAAAGTGAACAACTAAATAGAATCTCTGTCAGTGAAATGATTTCCCTATCATTACGTAGAGTTTCTTTTACAGTTGCATGAATATTAGCTACTTTGCAGGTATATTTCAGGGCAGTTTTACGAATACCCACCATTACTTACTATCATGACCATTGATTTTTAGGGTTTTACTTAAGGCTGTCGAAGGGTAAGTAGCTTTCCACGTAAAGTATCACAAATTAAGGGCCATTAATGGCATCCGTGATGGGTTAAGTTGGTAACATAAATGACAGTCGTAAGGTATTGAGTTTTCAACAATCAGAATGCTATTTTGCGTATCAGGACTTAAGTCATTCGGAAGGGCAACAGTCCAATCAGGGAGAAGGTAATACAAATCAGCAGGAGCAATGCGACTTCACGCCTCCTTTGACAGTCGATTCTGTGGAGCCGAGATCGCACGAAATGCAGAGTGGGCATGGTGGCGAACAGCCAGAGAGTGCTAACGATCGTTTGAGGGACCTGCAGGTCAGATTTTTCACTCTAGCTCAATAGCCACTACCCTGGCCACTTCAAAAGGATTTATTAGCACTTTCCCCCGGACAGGAAGATGTGATTGAACGCGAGGAGCGTGGGGTGAAGCTGGGTCTGGGAGACTTCATCTTCTACAGCCTCCTAATAGGACGCGCTTCCTTAGACGGCGACGTGTTGACTGCAGTGGCGTGCTACATAGCCATCCTGGTGGGCATGTGCCTCACTATCGTGGCGCTGGGGGTAGCACGGAAAGCCCTTCCTGCTCTCCCAATTTCCATTGCATGCGGCATTGTCTTTTACTTCTCCACCGCCGTCGTCATCACCCCCTTCATCCGTGCCACCTCTGAAAAACGCCTCTTTTTCTAGTCTGCATCGCGTTTTTCCTCTCTGTGACTAGGATTTTATTTATTCAATCTCATTTAAAATGAGTGTTCTTCCACGGTGCTTTGCGAATTCTCGTTTGGGTGGGGTGTCGAGGGCTTCTGATTCGATTCCTCTTCCCACTGATGCGCAATTTACATCTATGATTCTGCACGGCTGGGTCATCATTAAGGGGATGGTAGCGATTGTGCTGGTTCATTTTTCTAAGTTCGGGAAATGTAGTTTTTGAGACCTGGAAGAGGAAAACAGGCATTTTGGCTGTTAGTAAGACATCAACCCTCGTGTAAGTTGACAAACCATGCCAGTATGGGCCATTGACGACCCTGAAAACTCGGGGTGACAAAGCATCACAAAAAGGCCACTTAATTTCAGCGGCATCTTCTTTTTAACAGACAGCTTGTTGGGCATCAACTAGTGCATGCAGAAATGGTTTTTTCAAGTGTATTGCACATCAGTTCTTTAATATAAGCGCTAAAAAGACCCATTTCATTTATCTGAAAAGAACTTGGCCACTAAACCTATTAGCAATTCAAATCAATTTATTACTTTTATTTTAATCATCTGAACTTTTCAAATTTCCCTACTGTGGTTACAAAACAGCAGTTAATAGTTTATGTAGTCATTTACACAAAATACCAATTTCGTGGGGTATATGAAAGAAATACTGTTGTTCTCGAATATGTTACATTAAAATGTGATAAGCTTAATTTCTTTATGGAGGTAGATGGCTTTGTCACATTTTGTGACACATCTATGTTTGGACTCCTTATCTCCCCTTGTTTTAATGTTTCATTATACTGTGACTGCCTTATAGGCCATTGTCTTCTTGTAGAGGTTCGTCTAGCTTATATTCGGTTTTGGTTTTTCCTTGATTGTTTTGAAATCAGACCTAGAGTATATCAATCTAAATGTCTTAGATTATCTCAATTCTTAGTGCACTTACGTATACGCCTCTTAATGCTTGTGTTTCTGGCCTCGAGCCCGATTATCTTTTTGTATCATGTCTGTTGTTAACATCAATAACAGCTACCGTGGTTCTGTTCTAGGGCAGAGTTGGAGCTGGTTTGTAGTTTGGACGTCAAGCGAAAGCTAGAGTGGTAACAATGTCTGGAAACAACGAGCAGCGCAGAGGAGCGCCACAAATCGAAGAACAAGAATTGGCCACCAAGACAATACAGATTCAAAATAAGCGTTTTTACCTTGACGTCAAGCAGAATTCGCGCGGTCGGTTCATAAAGATCACTGAGGCTGCCGTAGGTGGTCAAAAGTCTCGGATTTTGATGTCAATCCCCGCCGCTCAAGCGCTCCGGGAAAAGTTGGAAAAACTACTCGAGGTTCTTAACAAGCTTCCCCCGCACGACCCTAAATCACTTGCTACTGACGGTTTAATTGAATCCGAAGCCATTGCAAGGGATAATCGTCGCTACTATCTTGACCTCAGGGAGAACGAGCGCGGTCGATTTTTAAGGATGTCAATGCTCTCAATGGGTGTTCGTGTGCAAATAGCTTTACCAGCAGATGGACTATCGGATATGTGCAATGGAATTGCAGAACTTATCAACGATTATTGCAGGGATGAGGATTTGAGTATGTGTTTGACTCCTTTTAATAGTGTTAATCTGAAATGTCTTGGATACTAGTTTAGTACTTGAGGTTATCGGAAATCTAAGGTTGTGTTGGTGAACCCTAGCGTACTGTTGATATCTGTTGCTATTTTTGATCTTAATTTTGTGAAATTGACTATGTGGCAGTAAGCAGTAAGGTAGTAACCAATTCACTCATTTCTTTGGGGAAAATTTCACCTGAATTCGGTAATAGCATGAGGTGCATTCTCCTTTGCAGTTGCGACATCTGAACTACCAGAAGCAAAGGTATTGTTCGCGGGCAACAAGACGTTCTACTTTGATGTGGGCTCTAATCGCTACGGTGTTTTTCTCCGCATATCTGAATTGCGTGCCAATTACAGGACGGCGGTCACCATTCCTGAACACCATTGGTCTCGTTTCCGTGACATCTTGGATGAACTAGCCAGTAAACCCGAGGGCAACAAATTGGCTGAAGAGAAGGATGAAAAGGCTGCTGGTGTGATGCCCAAAAAGAAAGAAGGGGAGAATGGTGGTGAACAGAGTGGCAATAAACTCAAGGCAGCAGAGAATTCAACACTTGCACCACTTGCTTCTGAGCCAAGTACTATTTCTGTGGCGTAGTTGCTCATATCCATTTTCAAATTTCCGGTTCTGTTCTTACCTACACTTATTTCACTTCTGTATTCTACGTTTCTTCATGCTCTTCTAGTCCTGTCCGTCTTCCCTCACTTGTGCATGCCGTCTTGCCACCAGCGCTTTTTCCTAACATCATGCCGCTGGTAACGCGTTTGATAATCACCCAATGGATTCATTCTCACCAAGAATTGACTCCATCCTGCATGTTAAGCCGTTGGCCGTGGTCTGACTTTCCGGCGCGGCGGGTTTGTGTTTTCGCAAGAGTTAGTTTTGAGCACATGCGCGAATGTTCCTCCATCCGTGGTACGTTCCTGAGGATACGAACGAGAATGGAGTGGGTGGTTCCGAGGTTTTAAGCTGCTAGTGAATGAAGCGGGTATTGTTGCAAGAAGTGGATTCGGCCATGGGTATGGTTCGTAATCTTCATCCGAGGTATGTTTTATGGAATCGCTTCTCGGATGCGGTGTCTGCGCCGATTTAGGATAGGGGCGGGTCAGTTCGTGCTTGTGCCCGAACGGATGAGTCACGGCGGGATTTTCACTGACTGTGGCTTGGATGCACATGTCTTGTGAATTTTTAAGGTGCTGTGGAGGTTCATGTGATTTTTTTACTCTATTTCTGAAGTTCAGTGCACTTATATTTGGCTTTCGGAACATCACTAGCAGGTTGGAATTTCACTATCTTCTAAAGTACTGCTTTTATTTGGTGACAGATAAATGGATTAAAACCTCTACAGATTTTATTACCGTTTCAGGGTTCAAATAACACTCATTTTTTAGTTACCCGCCATTTCAGGGGAGATCGTTTGTAAGGCGTCTCTCGAGAGGTAGTTGCTATCTATTTAGTAAACTTAGCATGTGGCAAGTTAGCGCTGATTGGTTATGTAACTGGGGGTTTTTCACCTTTAGGCTCTTAAGCGTTACTTACTTTCATTAAATATGTTTTAGCCTATGGTTAACGAGGTTCACCTGAAACCGGTGACGATTTGCCGGACGGTGAAGGTTCTAGCAGCAGTTACCGAATTCATCGTGGTCATTGGCTTGGTTACATCTTAATCCAGGCAGTGCGGATTTACAAGGCACTTTTTTTGTGTAATTGAATTCACAAATTTTATCCAGAATCAGGTTGTTGTTTGCTGCAAACCTCGTGATTTCGTCATGCACGCATCGTTGGAATTTGTCAGCAATACCGATGTGCAGCATGAGAACTAATGTCTTTATTCCACTCATTTTTTACGACAACATTCAGTAGATCCCCCTTTATCCCCTTTTTATGGTTAAAAGTTGTTCGCTAATGCCTTTTGCATCTGCTGTTCTAAGGGTTTTCTAGTTTAGCTTGGGACCGACCCGAATTCAGTTCCTTCTGCATGCACAACTATTGGGATGGCTGTGGCTAAAATTTATTCCTTTCCACAAGGAATCTTCACACCAGATCTTGTGTTTTAGTTATTGAGATAATGGTATCCTATTCCAGTAAATTTAAAGAAATTTCCATTTCGTCTTCTGTTACCCATTTGATGAGATGGTTGTCTACACCGAGCTAAATCCAATTTGTTCAATAGTATATAAGCGTCGGATGCGAAAGAAGACAATATAAATTGATGCACTTAGATATACCTCCTTTTTTGATAACTCTCCATGTGACACCTTCGTTCTGTTATGCAGCACGTCCTATGAAGATTAACCTCCCGTAATTCACGCTGCACCGATGCTTTCCTCGTGTCGCGAGTGCGGGCATGCAATCGGTAGATTTCAGAAAGATTTTTCCAATTTGTAGACTTTGGCGACTGATAGTAATCAGTTCCGAAATTGGCGTGCCGTAAACATTTCTGGGATTGTTGAAATTTGGTACTTCCGACGGCTCGAGTCTTTCGATGCCTTACGCCTGTAAGTGACTAACCCGATTTCGGAATTCACCTCATTTGCAATCGTCTGAGTCAATCAGACTTTTTTTTTTAAATCGCTTTGTACATTTGTTGAAGATGCTAGTTGTGGTGATAAGGGTTATTAAATTACCCTTTTTATCTGTGATGTTTTTCTACGTCACCCAAAATCGCTGTCACAAAAGTAACTAAAGTGCTGGCTCAAGACAGTTTTAACACTAAGGGATGGAACTGACTAGTACCGCTACAGACTAAGTCAAGCCAAATCATTTACGGAGCTGCTTTTTTTGCAGACAAATATTATTCGAATTCCCCATTGTTTTAATATTGCATCTTGCTTACCGGTAGGGTAAATGAGGCAATTACTCGTCGGACATGGTTTTTCACTAAAAATGAGTGTCAAATACTGGTCACACCATCAAGGCTAAATGTGGGATTTCATGGTGTAATCAGAATATTTCCTGCTTTCTCCATCCCACAACATGTTTTTACTCAAAGAGTCGAAGTGGCGAAGGGTGACTATGATTCCCTAAGGCGGAAGAAAACAGGCTGATACGGGAGATCCCACGACTCCGGTCAAAAGTCTTTCACATCACATATTTCTTCATATTAAATCATGCCGGCAATCCTCCATATATTTTCCAAATTCAACACATTCATAGGATATTTTGTTGGTACATTACGTATATATTGCGATATTTTTGGACTGAGGTGGGGGAACAACCCGTAGAGCTGCTAATTAGGGCCATTTTGAAATCCTTCCTTGTTTTATGATAGAAGATAGTATCATTATGTAGCACGACACTCTTTTTAGCTAATCCTTTATCTGAGTAGACTCATCGGTCCCCTAATGGGTGTCACGGCATTCTGGTCAATAATAGTTATAGTCTCTAGTAGTAGATCCGTAGTGCTTGGATAACTTGCTTAACCCTGCGCTGGATAACGCGGGCACCTAAGTATCCGCTTCTGGACCACAACGGTAACCTCAGCCCTTCTGTGCTCAGTATCAGGTTGTTCGCCGTTCTACCATGACGTCTTACGACTTCGGGAAAGACTCCAGATTCGGCAGGTTATCCACATTGCTGGTATGCCTTCTCACGTCCACAATATCTCTTCAATTTCGCTAATGACTTACAGAAATCAGGAACTCAAATAGATCCAAACCCTCACAAACGTTTATGAAGGAAATCAAAGTTAACTTTACGTATTTTATTAAGGGTGGATGTTTTATAAATAGATGTTTATTCGGGTTACTAGATTAAAGGAATCTACTACGTCCTAAAATTCTCAAGTTAAATCTATACAGGTATCTTAATAACCTTTCCTTGATCCACCTTTTGAATTTAGACAGTTTAACGGGCAGAAGAGACTGAACTCTCCAAAAGCCCTATTTTGAAGTGAGATGTGAGCCAAGTTGTGGGTCATCTCCACCACCTCTGTGCTTAACTGCAACTAACAGTGAGTTTTCCCTGTAAACATTTCCTATCCGTCATCTTCAAAGCAGTGATCGGGCAACCTAGCTGCGAACTTTGATTGGCGGGCTAATGACTGTGGTGGAAAAATTTAGACTTGTTTTTGTGTTCACTTTCTGTTAATAGAGCGTTAATTTGCGTAGAATTGTGCGACTGGTTTCCCGTTATCGTGGTCCCCAGGTTTTTGCTCAAATTAATTCAGCTAAAGTCAACACTTTTCTCCTATCCATATTTTAATGCGCAACACTTCAAAATAGTGGAAAACATGTACCACTACTATGGAAATTATGTATTCGCAGAAATGGACCGAAATAGTGTCCAACACCACTGTAATCGGCCTCCATTAAAATGTCGACACGTCTTCTAAAGTGTCCACGCACTCCATTCGATAGTCTGCACAATTACCGGTCTTAACGTCCTTAAAGCGCATACCAATTCGACCTCGGCATTACGAGCATGTGTTGATAACCCTCACCACATCACCCTACACGGGTCAAGAGCTCTAGAACGGCGTAAATCTGGCGGTCAGCCTAGAAACTTCAACCTGGCTAGCAACTACCATCATTGATCTGGCGTGGGCTTGGGAATGACGTCCTAGTTGTCCGGATAAGCTCAGTGTTTTGGATAACATCCAATCATTTGTAGTTTTGTTTCCATTTTCTGGAGATGTTTACTTTGGGACTCAAATAATTTGAGAAAGGTATCAATCTAAGTTCACTGTGCATGACAAGGGGATTGGCGTAACTTTTTACCGCCTGTGATAAAAACAAGTTCTCTACGTCAGGTGTGGCAGGGTAGGTTAAGCCTACTTAGAACTCCGGCTACTTCGGTTTCTTATATTACGTACCCAAAAAATTTGGCTCAGCTATCCGCGGTCAGACAACGTTAACTGGCTGACTGCAATACAATTTGTTTTGCTGTGTTTGCATTGGGACAAGTCTAAGTTTCTTGGAAGTGTTCCATTAGTTCATCTTATTTGTATCTGAAACAACTTTGGTTTGGGTACTCTACACGCATTTTCTTGAATATTTTAATCACAGACAAATACTCATGAATGGAGAACAATTGATTTGCTCCATAAGTAGAGTGCCACAGAATCCAATATTTTTTCAACCAACAAATCTTCACTCCCAAAGACAAGTTTGCATGCCAGTTTCGCCTTAGCCTTTTGGCGGTGTAAGAAGGCGTGGAAAAGTTTTCACTGTGAAGGCCGTGGCTTAGAAATTGTGCAGCAATTTTAACCTTTTTTCGGTGCCTATACTAGTCCACTCTGTGACCACACCCACAAATTTTGTAGTATGAATCTCATCCTTCCGATGTTGCTAAACTTCTTTGTGCCCTATGGATGTCACATTACAATAGGCTATGATAAAAGGCAGCCCCTCGCCTGCATTTACGCTGCTAACAAGTCGAGATCCATCTATTAACATCAGACATTGCGTATTAAGAGAGGGGCAGATACATCACTAATTCTGTTTTTGCGACTTTCAGGGGTCAAATGACTAATAAACTTGTGTAAGGAGATGAGGATCCGTTCTATCTAGATGAGAGGAGATTAAGGATTTACTAATTTTAAACAGTTTAAAAGTCGCATTTGAGGCCTGAGAGGCATTTTAACGAGAAAATGCGCAACATAGGATCGGGATGTAAATATGACCATGAGAATTATAGACTTCAGTCTCATCCTCCCCATTTCTTTAGCGTGGCATTGGTGTGTCATAAATCCAGGTGTAAACAGGGCTTAATATCTTGGAAAAAAAACATTAAATTGAGCTTACTGCAACAAGTCGGTAAACTAGTCTGCCTGTAGTCTATAATCCGATGGAAAGAGTCGTATGTTAGCCATAAACCATGTTTAAACTGAAATTATAACATTCAAAACCACTTTTCTCGGACATCACAAACACATAATAGTACATCTTTTCAAAGATACCAACTTCCTTTTTGTGTGAGTTTGGAAAATGAACCCAAAACTGCTAAAGGTGTCTGCAGTCGTACTTGCAAACCACCTGATCTCGGGCTTCGATATCATACAGGTGGATACAAGTTTACTGATTGCATTAAATATTCACTAAGTATGCTCTATTGCTCGTATAAAGCTACCCAACTACCAACTTTTTGAATTTATGTTTTGTCACCAAGCTCGGAGCGCGATCGAAGTGGAATTAGCGCTTTACTCCAACAATGGAGACGCAGATGTCTAAAAGGAGGTCGTAGAGTGATATCGGTGATAACAGGGAATACCGAGAGTGGCATAGAAATGCTCAAATATGATTGTAATAGGACTAGCCTTGTTCACTTCCACATCGTCACTAAGGTGAAATTTGACGATTGAAGGCTTTATTTGGGATGATGCCCGCTTAATTCAGTAGTACCCATAACTACTATAAAAACATTTGCGAATCCGCAAAAAATAGGAAACTTATTTGTCCCCCTTTTATAATACTCAAAAGCTTGATGTACAGTTATACTGGGTTATTATGGTGATGTATCTAAGGCATAGTCGATTTTTAAGTCGGCTGCATTAGCTGCACTTGGTTCCGCAAAATAGAATTATGCGAATAAAGAAGGGACAAGAGAAGTCGAAGCTAGGATGAGGAGTTGCACCTAATGTTAAGCAATGGGTGAAGTGTCGTCCAAAATTGTGAATGAGACTGTTTATGACGATTTTTGACATTATTACAATAGCTAAATGTGTAAATCAATTTCACACTTAACGTTGCATTAAAAAGTATGGTCGTTACTAAGTGCAAATGATTTAGAGGATGGAAGGTACATTTTGGGTTGTTCTAGATAAGAAGGCCAAAATATCATAAATATTTGAGAATGTAGCAAATGGACATTGGTGGACAGTGTGTAAAAATGTTAATTTTTGTGGCATTTTAGAGCGCTTGGAGAGCAATGTTAGTGATAGAATGCAATCAAAATGAAGAGGGTCTTAAACCGTAGTCACGAAACTCCGCCAACGACCACGAAGATTATCCAAAATCGGTATTTTCATATGCAAATAGGAGATTTGGGAATTTAAATATTACTTTGGCAATGTGAACTATCCAGTCTGATATACTATAAGAATCTGTGGCATTTTTGAATTAGTAATGTAACACGATAGTGGTTTATCCCTCGGTTCTGGTGAGGCGCGACTTTTGTACTTCGAATTAGCCCCCTTGTACCTCGCTGGGTGGGCTGGCCTTTTGGGCCATGCCAATACCCCAGACACCTTCTCCGTGCTGAATATATATATTCTGCCCGAGTATTGTGTCTTCTTTCGTCTTCAGGGAGCCCCGGGACGCTACAGTAAGCATCCAACTAAATCATAATTCTTCTTTACATAAATAGGTTTCGCTCGAAACTAGACCCAGCGTAAGACCTCGTTTCTTCTCTGGAAAGGCAGAAAGTATTTGAAAGAAGTTAAAAGCATCAAGACAGAGGTGATTGTTGGGAAAGAGTCTCATTTATTCATATAGATCTTATGTGTTTGAGTATACCATTTGGGCGACAAGAGATCAGGTTACATCAACTTCGTAACCAAATGGATGTCACGGACACTCTAGGCGGAAGTAAACCTTTATATCCTAATAACTTTGGTAACCCGAAAACCTTCCCAATATTGCTTGAGTAAAAACATCGTCTACACAATGTTCGCTTTCCAATGGTATAAGGCAAGAGGTAGAAGAAATACCAAATAGTAACTTTTAAATAAGCATCAATAAAGCTAATATAATCCAAAACGATGATCACACAATTTTGTGTGAGTTTCGTAGAAGGTGGGAAAGCTCTTCCTGTGATAATGACGATGATGGTTCTCAACCTCTTTTTGGTTATTGCTGATGAACTCTTGCTGTGCCTCAAATAATCGAAAATCTATGAAAGCATCGCCAATACAAAAACAGTAAATACCGCCAAAATAAATAAGCTTGCTTCCTCAAATCGTGTAAGAGCAAATACAGGTCCAAACCAGAACGCCCATTTCCAGTGTGCATGCGCGTTTTGTCTGTATCATGTCAATTTGCGCAGCGTTAGCTATTGGAGTTGTGCTGGGGCGCCTCGATTATCTATAATGTCTTACCACCAAATTCACTGGTAAAGTGCTTCCATCATGTTTTATATTTCCTCTTCTTATTTTTTGGCAAGTGTTTTTCCTACTATTGTTTGTGTAAATGTGTTAAGCTAAGTACAGAGATTTCCTCTTTTGGATTATTATATTTGGGTTTTTTGGATTACAACAAATTATCTGTTAATTACTCTATGGGGGCTTTTGCCTTCAAATAGTGTTCATTCTTCAAACTTGGGTTGATATTGTTTGTGATCCTAGTGCACATGGTGGCTGTTATTATTTTTACGTTGCTAAATGGTTTTTTTAATGTGATTTTTGGTTATCCTCTCGGCTGTCGATTTAGTCTGAACACTTTCTAGCGTCACATCGATTTGAAATTATCACTGACTAGAATGTAACTTGACTTTTTAGTGTTAGGTACATATAACCTACTCGAAGTGTGGAGGTTATCGTCTGTATTTTGTCGGTAATGTGGGTCATCAAGTATACTTCTGATGGTGGCGTCGATACTTTATATCTTTGTTGCTTTCATCATCGATACAGATACATGAACGGGTCGAATGAACAAATAAGTGAACAGTCCCTCCAGCAGTCAATCGCAATCCCCTTGGCAACTGTGGGTCCTGCTCCCGACTTGGGAGGCGTCATTTCGGTTAGCAGTGCTCCAGCAGTGTGGACGCAACAGCAAACGACTGCCGTTGTTTCAACGCCTAGGCCAACCGTCTTCGTTTCAAGTCAAGCCCCCACAACCGTTAACTCAGGCTCCCCAATAGTTTTCACTCCAGCAGTTACCTCGATTAATGGACCGATTGTAGTAGCGCCCGCTTCAGCAGTCAGCACAGACGTTCAATCCTCACCCCAGACCAATGGTGTGGTGTCAGTGTCCGAGTCAACGCCAAAGGCGATTTCCCTTCCCGAGACAACTTCCTCCCTCCCCACCTCTACTCCTTCAGCCAGTCAGTCAGCCACCTCGAACACAACTTCTACTGATTCCTCTCAGCAAAAACAGAAGACTGTTTTTAACACCAAGTCCTTGCTAGAACTAGTGAAGGAGACAGACCCATACTTACAACTTGACGATGAAGCCGAGGAGGTATACTTCTGTTGTCATTTATTCTATCATCCGTGTCAAAATTCAGTAATAATTTGTTAGTGATGGCCTTGCCTCGATTAGTCCATGTCCTTGTTTTTGCATAGGCTCTCACGATTTTATCAGAGGAGTTTATTGAGAAAGTTGCCAAACGGTCCATAAAAATGGCAAATCATCGAGGCTCCCCCACTGTTGAGGCGAAGGATGTGAAATTCTGTCTCGGTAAGTAATCTGCCATAAATTTCGCGTTTGCCGACTGAATTTTAATACATTTACTCAGCTTTACTTTTACGTAAATATAATCGAAAACCCTATAGTTGCTGATGTGAGGTTAGGTCTTCCTCAAGAAATGTACGCTCGCATTAACTGCGCTATTCTTTTCTGCTGAAAAACTTTGTGAACAGTCGTAACTTCGGATGTTTGCACAGGAATAGAAGGATAAAAGAAATAGGTATCTAGTAATAGTCTGACCTCTATGCTTTGTTGTAGATCACGATTGGAACTTATTCATTCCAGGATTTCCTACGGTTGAGAAGAACTTTAAACGACCATTCATATTACAGGCGCACAAACAGCGTCTGGCGCTAATTAAGAAGCAGATCAAGCGGAGCTAATGCCTGCAAAGTGATTAAAATGCCGCTCAAATCTCTCTCCCCATTATGTCTCGCTCCCACAGATTTATGCACAGTTATGTACGATCTAACAAAATGAAGTGTACGTGAAATTTAGAAATGTATTTTTCAAATCATAGTTAGGGTGGAGTAAGTGAAGACGAGAAGGGAAGGTTGGTGTTGGCATTCATCCAGTGAGTATCTTTCAGACCGAAACCTAGGCTGCTCGAGGAAATTCAGTTCGCTCAACTTTGTGCTCGTTGCCAACCAGCCGGTAAGTGTAAAGATTTATGGTGCTTTCCTGTATATCCAGTAACATAAATGTGGGCTGCGGATCTCTTAATAATGAAAGAAATTAATTTACTTCAGAAAAGAAGCCAAGACCCATGATAGCCATCTTGAAAAAACGGGTAGATTAAATATCCGTGACGGAGTAAATACGTGCGAACGGTTCTAACTCGAAAAAAAATAGTTTGTTGTGGCTTTTCACTATAAGTACGAGCCTTACCTTTGGAGAGGAGTAAAAGCACCAGTAACAGAGCCAGGGTTCAGAAAGATGCCGCCGTCGTACTGGTAGGCCTCTGCGACGTGCGTATGCCCAGAAATGAGGACATCGACATTAAGTTGCCTTCTGAGCATTGAGAGGCTCGCACGGCTCCCCCAAGGCACACTTTGGTGTCCATGGGTGAGACCAATCTTCAAATTTCCAACCGTAAGGACTTTCGTTTCTGGGAAGGGAAGCTTAAATTGGGGAAATGAACATGAAGTGGGAAACATACTTGGTCAAAGTCACCTTTTACGACGTGAACATCAGCACAAATAAATTTCAATTGATCGTAAATTGTACGGCTAGTAAGATTTCCAGTGCACCATACATGATGAATTTTACCCGGTGAAAGGAGCGCCTTGAAAGCTGGGTGAATGCATACGCTGCGATCCGGGATGTGAAAGTCACCAATTACCAAAACAAGCTAGGTAATAAAGTGGTGGGTGTCGTACAACCTACCATGACGGGTTACGAAGTGGAAACAGTGTTGTCCAAATGTAAGCTTGCTAAATTACAGAAGTACGAAATCAATAAATAACTAGGGAATATACCCAGCAATAACTTAATAAAATGCCAATGTGATAGTAAGTGGAAATATGAACGGACATTAAAAACCATTTGAGGATGTTGCAACAGTAGTCAAGTTTCAGACATTAATCCAAGTAAAAAATTAACAAATTTACAAAAACGACAAACGGAAAACAAAACAGTTGTAAGGCAAGTCAGATAGTTCAGTTTTACACCAAGGTGTTTTCTTCTACCCGTTGAGTAAATGCATACTTAAATTGTGCATAGCGGGTCTTTCGGGAAAACGCGAAAAAATGATACGGTACCTGATGTCACAGCTGACGTAAAAAAAGGCTAGTCAAAAGCACCCAAGACAAATCCCATAAGTAGATTATTTGCGCAACGCGCTAGGGGTGGATAAAACTAGCCCTCAAGCAGGGGAAGTAATGACAAAAATTCAACGGGAAGGGTAAGCGACTTTAGTGAAAATAGCTTCATTAAGGGAACCCATTAAAGTGAATTGCGTTTCCACTAAAATTTAGGCTGCCTTTAAACAAGGTTATATTAGGTCACGCGTTAAAAATAAACTGCGCATTCTAATGAGAACGGTCATTGCCAAAGGGGATTCGGCGTTACAGTCTTTGATTAACTGCTGCGGGAAATCCTGCTATTCCAAACCGACACAGAGGGCATAAAAAATTCGCTTTTTATTCTACGAATAATAAAGGGACTACCAAGAAACCTTTAAGTGCAAAATCTGCTTTTTTGCAGAATTAACAAAAAAGCACTGAATTGATTCCCTACGTTGTTGAAATTCGTATGATATGATATGTGTAATACTGAGGAGTATATAGTGCTATAAAGTAGCTCCCGCAGCATCTTTGAAGATAAAAAAGACATAATACCGTGGTGGCGTATACACGGTGACGAGTAAAATCCCGGATGCCACTAGCCTTGCTCGAAGCTTATTAAACCCAGCGGAAACACGTAGACAGACGCGCAGTACACGGCGAAAAAAGCTAGCCTAGTATCAAATACCAAAATATTGCATTCTCTTTCCTAAATTAGTGGCTACCTGTGGTATCATATAATATCACATTTGTAACGTAACAAGGCCTCAAAAGATATCAATATCGTCTGATTCTTATACTGCAGCGCTAAAGCACAACTTAAAAAGCTCTGTTTTTTTTAAAAATTTTTGATTTAATTTAACAATTTTTTGTTTTTTTGTTTTAATTTGTTTTTTGATGCGTACACATTTTGATGCGCAGGCTGTTCGTTTCGTACTGGTTTGTGGCTTTGTCGTCGTAATCGGGTTTGACTTCTTCAGCCTAGTATTTGGACTGTAACTACATCCACTTGGTATGGTATATTATACAAAGTCAGCATGACTATCTTCACTTTACCTGGTACTATCAAAATATGTGGTTGTTCGTCCGAGTGAACTTGTCATTATTGCGCATAGTGATTTTTAGCGTTGTTTAGTATGGTAGGAGTCGTGTTTACCTTAACTCAAAATGGTTACACTCTTACTCTTTGTTTGCTTTTGGGTCAATATTAACACTGGCTTTGTTCCTACGATCTATTTTAAGCAGAAGTCCTGGTTTATGGTCTCCCGTAAAGCCGATTCATAGATTTTTGTAAGTGGAGTTTACTTTAATGTGCTTTGTTTACAGGTACGGGTATAATTTTAGCCGTATTTTTTAGTTCTGTTTTTCTTCGTTTCTTGGTCATGGACACAAGAAATCCGTCTCCCCCGCCTGGTGTTGATTCTACCCAAGAACAAAACGATCAGATCGGCAACAGCGCCTACAGTAAAAGATGGCTTTATTCGCTCATTCTGCAAGTTCTTACTAAAATAAGCGAGTCCGAAGAAGGTTCATTTGCAACAGAGGAAGAATTGGAGTCGCCTTTAGAAGAGGAACTTTGCTGCCTATGGGACATAACTACTGATCAAGCATTGCTGTCCCACTTACGTCATTTCCAACTGGTTCCCGTATTCACGGAGTGCATTCACAAAAGCAAATGTCCACGCCTAATTGTAAATGGATTTGTTACTGACTCACTTGGCTATCATGTATATAATCGATTTGCCATGTATTTTACCTTATTTCCCACTATTTATTGACACTGATAAAAATTTTCCAAATTATTTCCAATTTAACTTTTCACTAGAAGAATGCTGTTTTGCATCTTAGGAAATTTCTCTTGGCGTTCTCGCGAATTTGTCTTTGGACGAAGAACAATGCGGTATATTGTCAGAAGAACAAAGTTTTATGTAGGTTTTATGCACAAGCATAACTGAAACAGGGTGGATGCTTTAAATCTTCTTGTGATCGACGATACTCGAATACTCATCGAACTGTTCAGGTACTGTTGGTGCTCACCATTTGATTTCCATTTTACAAATTCTCAGGCTCTTGCGTTCCGTTCTTGCCTCAAGATTACACCGGCAAGTTTGGTTAGACGCCATTCATTTCGCCCTCGAATTCATCGATCGGGTCAACTTTATCTTGTGTAGTTCAACCAATGGTTCGCATACTTTTAACATCACTCATTTGTTCAACTTTAGCATCTCTTCTTATGAACACTATTAGTGCTATAGAAACAATCCTTCGAATTGATGACAGCTTGTGTGAGCTTTGGTGCAATGAAAGCTTGCTCGGTTCATTGCAAGAAGCCCAAAAACAAATGTGGTGGGTTGTCTCACTTTCTTTTATTCAATAGCTGGATCCATGGAAACGAAGTGGAGATCATTTACCGACTTCTGTACCTTTATTCTACTAACTCCACCGGGGTTCGAACTCTTAGTACGTTGGTCATCCTGTCATTTTAAAATGTTATTGATAGTTCCTGCTTCAAGATCCAACTATGTTAGTTTTTTTGTGTCATTAAAATTATGTTATGCAGAAATACTATTACTTCCCTATGCTTGTTTGTTTTGTGAAGAAATTGGAATTAACCGTGTATTATAAGAAATCACACTGCCACCTTCTGATCTACACTCCCGTTTTAGTGTCCAGATACCAAGACATCTACCCGAGTTTCGGTGTCTTGATGCGCAAAATCTGTGAGGATGAACCACATTTAATACCTTTTGAAAAGTATATTGCATCCTTGCGACTAATTTTGCCCGTCATCGATGTGATCTTAACGAATCTTCCGTCGTATCACGCGTTGAAAGCCTTTTCCTGTGGTGAGAACAGGATTCCATTGCATTTATATGTCCGAGTGTTTCTTTTGCAAATTTTGCACTAATGTTTCAAGTCACTCCCTCGTAGTTTCTGCATTGTCATATCTCTCACTGCCTCGTCTTCTAGTACAAATACTTGCACGTTTAGCCTGAGTCATTATTATTTCAATTCTCTATATTCATTAGATTGAGGCTGCCTTGTTTGCGAACCCTTATTTGGTATTTAGCCACCTACAAGAACGTCTTGAGTATCCAATTGAGATTAGTCTTGACTTCCCGAACTACTCTCCCTGCCAAAATAATTGATAAAGTTTTACCTTTTACAGACAAGGATATCCTCCCGTGCCTATTTCAAATATCCTTTGGATGTGTAAGTCGAAGCTTCATTTCAGGCGATCTTTCTTTGGATGATCTCTGGAAGGACTTATCAGTCCTCTTCGGTGATTTGATTCAGCGTGTTCATGAGTACATTCAGGTACCTGTATTGTCGAAATAATCTATGTAAACTGTGTATTTACTGACTTTAAACTGCGCTGATAAATAACGATTTATAAATAGTCAGGTGTTAGAATCTGAAGAATTCATCTAGTGCTCTTGTGGGTTGTGTTATTATCCATAAGTCTTGTTTGTTATTAATTAAGGTAGAGCTGCTTTGTGAAGTTAATATTTTGCCATTGGTTATAGAGCGCTGAGGCAGTCATGCCCTGTTTCCTTTATATTGTCAGAAAATTACTACGTTACTGTATTTCAGGATGGCGGTTATGCGGATAAGCCACCAGAAGACTCGGGTGGTCTGCTCTATTGGCTGCATGACATTGAGGACGGTAACCAAGATCTGCGTGAGGCTTTTGTTCGCTGTTGCTTGTGTCGACGCGCACCAGCAGGCGTTGCGGACGCAGAGGGTAATGCCGCTGTCGAGGTCCTGCGTGGTCATCTAGTCTTTGTTTGCCAACGACTCTGTCTTTCCAAGCTCCTTGAATGTTCTACCACAGATCACAGCTAAACTGAAATATTGAAATCACCTTAAATCATGTACATAAATGTGTCATCATATACATTTAGCTTTCTTTAACTCTGCTAATATCTTATAGCAGATAGTGAATGTGCTCTAGTTGATAATATCCATATCTACCGGACATTAGACTGATGCAATTTCCTATTAAGTTCGGCGAGGCGCTGCACTTTTTGGGAATTTTTCGCGTAATTGGAATTTATTTTTAGGATACTGTGCAGTCAAATATACCCAAAATTTGGCTTATTTCAATCAACAGAAAACATTCATCACAAGTGTCTTGGAATGCTGCGTTTTTTTCTGTTGAAATGCTTTAATGTCCCATCTGTTGGAATTCTCCCTGACCAGCATGCAAAATGACAGCTATTCAAATTGTTATTAGGGGTAATTAAATTTCAAGACAAATTGACGTTGATCAAGTTAGCTTAAGTCTTTGTGAAAATTAGTGGCGCCATGAGTTGACCGCATTCTGCAGGGGTCATTCCAATTGAGGTGAGATGCACCAGTTTAGTCGTGCATCAAGACACCGGGCACACTTGGCAATATCTTCTCTGCAACCAGCAGAAAGTATCACCTCATGCTTCATGGATCCCTTCCTCGGGACCTTTGAGAAGGCCACCATTTCGCAGTGGAATCTGTTACATATTGCTATTATCCTCCTATCGTCTGCATCTGCCAGAATGTCTTCAAGATTGGCACTTTCGGGTATAAAGAAGCTTTTCTTTATGAATTGCTTTCTTACAAATAGTCCGTTTTCACTGGCCATTACCACGTTGATATTAGGAGCAAGTTGGTAGTGCTTACGCGGAGGTCCCATTTGGGATTGACTCTTGATGGGTATGTATCGAGTGGCTCGACTATATGGTGTCAACTGCGGTGTTATGTTTCTCTGAATAACGCCGGGTGTAATTTGAATCATTTTTCGAGTAGGTGAACTGATTGTGGTTGTAAAATGCATGAAATTCTGGCTTCCGAATCCAGGATTTGTCTTCTGTTCGGCATTATCAGCTAAGATGGCCTCAGCACTTACATCACATTCGCAACCCCTTGGCCTGTACGTAATTGACACATCTGTTACCGAGGCGAGTGTGTTCACCTCGTCAATCGGAGAGAGAGACGGTAGGTTGTCTTTTTCTCCTGAGTGTTGAAATCCTAGCTCTGGTGAAGTGGCAAGGAAAGTTGGGTGAGGTCCAGCGGTGATTGTGTCTTGTTCAAGTGTACTGGCGTTCTCTGAAGAGAGCTGCATATGTTCCACTTTTGCTGATATTTGCTCTATTAGTTGGTTTTCATCATCACTTTTGTTTTGGCACATAATCGACGTATCTTTTGTATCACAGCTTCCCTGTGCAGATAAAACTGAAGTAACCGTCGACAGGTCTGAGGAAGCGGCTTTGCACTCCTCATCGGAGGTGGCTAAAGTTGCCCCGGTCTGCTTGTTCAGCCCGCTCCTTTTAATTTTTGGTTTAAGAACAACAATATGACCGTGTTTATTTGGCTCTTGCTCGTGTGCGTGTTTGATGCGACAATAACGAACAACTTTGTCAAGAATGCCTACATCTGGTGCCTTTAATTCCTTGCGGGCTTGAGGACGAAGGTAGGGGGATGAACGGAGGCTTGAGTTGAACTTCTTAGCCGAGTTATAGTTGGCCATTCCTCTCATCGAGGTTGATGGGAATTTTAATCGAGTGGAATGTGTAACTTTCTGATTTTTAGAAGTTTTTTCGGTAGTTGAAGCACTTGGGGCAGTTTTCGGTAAGTCTGGATTTACAGGATTTTTAATTAAAACTCTTTCCGTGAATTCGGAATTTTTCTGCGACTCAATATTTTCAAGACCTGAAAATTGATCATTTTTACTAACACTACAATACGACGGTGCAACGTTATCACGAGAAACATCACCACTACTAGAGACGTTGGTGCATTCACGCTTTCCTGCGCTCCGCACATTGTGCCAAGCATCACCATCTGGGAATGCCTTCGGGGGTTGGCGCTGTGAGCATCTTTTCGCATTCGAATGGGAAACAGGCGAACCTCCAACGCAACCTTTCACGTGGATTGGCACCGAGGTAGACTTACTCTCAGGCCCTGTGACATCACTGGTCTCCACACTCGGACACACGCGGTTATCAGACATGGTTGCATACGCGAGCGTCAGCACCTCCTAGCCTCAGATATGTGTATGCGTCTATCGATCGCAATGAAATTTAAAAACCGAAAGTAGGCAAAAATTTATTGATCAACACTTATTAGAAATGACTCCGGTTGGAACATAGAATGTAAAAAAAGGCCCAAATTGTCCAAAATTAAGCAACTTGTGTGCAAAGTGGCTGCGCTACTTTTGATCACCCTATTTTAATGACTGGTCCGTCCTCTTCGTTCTCGACTACTTTCGTGCACATTGAGTGTTTAACTTCCCTACGGATACAAAGGGGAATTTTGAAGTTCCATTTCCGAATTAGCACCACAAGATCAACATATTGATGCGGATGCTGCACCACTCGTTTAAGTGGCACGAAACATCAAACAATGGACAGCTCAAGTGGCCATCGTCTGGTCGCACGCTTTCAGCACACATCAGGCACGCCAACTTCTGATTGGTTAATAGGTATAGCCTTTCCCAACCGTTACCGATTATACATTGAGGGTAAAGGCATGCCAGAACAAGCGCGCTATCGTAGCTTCTAATGTCAAACGCTTGAGCTAGTAGATACGTGAACAAACTTAATGTGGAAAAAATAGTAACAGAATCTGACGTGAATAGCAACAATAGTGGCCCGTTCATCGAAAACCACACTGATACGACAGCTTCCGTTTTTAATAACACGGGATCTGCTCAGTGATGCATTAAGTAGACATTGTAATGGCCCCAATTCGATTTCAAAACCTAGCAAGCCAAATCAAGATGCTAAATGAATTCATCCCCTTATTATTAATACGATAAATAGCCGGGATTATCTACCAATGACAATATTAAAGTTGCCGCGGTGAGCCAAATTTGGTCCACATTTTACTCCAAGAAGAGCAAAAAACGGATCAAAAGCAACAGAAGTGAGCCCGAGGGTGAATCTTTAGTAAAGCCAGAGGTCGGTCAAACTTTAGAAAAACTGTGAATTGTGGGTCTGGTGAAAGTGTTTGGCGAAGGTCTGGGCGACAAGGAGGGGGAAAATGAGGGATGCGTCACCATGGATCTTGACAGGCTCAGAGGTGTTGCGCAATTTACCCCAGGAGACAGCCTCGTCAGGCTGTGCACCCGCGTCTGAGCCGTCAAACTCTTGACCCGTATTCACGTACACCGCGTATTCGGCGCCATTACGCATGAGATTGGCATTCAGGGTGTGGTGTTTTACAATGCCTCCACCAAGCACCACTATGGCTGTAGCATGCGAGTAGATGGCCAGCAAGTTGATTCGCTTTACATCTGCCACTACGTCCACGCGCAGACCCGGAGGTGAGCTGTAGGTGTGCGCAAACAACACGTCCCCCAGCGCACCGTCCGTTATGCCCGGACAGAACACCGGGATCCCGTTCTAGAACCCCAACACAACCACCACATCAATTCAATTACATAATGAATACCAGGATTTCCATCGAGTCTGTTCGAAGACTTTGTGAATCTCATATAGACTGATTCTGTGGGAAAAACTGACTTCAAAAGTAAAGTGCTGGTTTCATCCATTAATAAATCCACAGGTGGAAAAAACGTAGGTCGAATGTGCCTGAGGGTTAACAGATTCAATTGACCAAACAATAGCCTTTTACACAAACAGTTGCGACCTACCCTGTGACACCAGTAGTACACAGAATCCGGGTTGTTGATTTCTTTACCCAACCTGTCAATCATCATTGAAGGGGTCCAATTCACATTCTGAAAAAATTTAAAGGACTCGATCATGATGGCGAGTTGTAAAAATACAGAATAAGGTTCACCACTTTCAAGGAAATCTCAGCCAGACAAAGCTTGATACAACCCCTTAACTGCTTAGCAAAGGAAGATGCGATAATGTCAAGGTATCCAGGAGACGTACCATCTTAAGACCAATACTCATTAATATCAAAAATGTCTTAGGATAGACTTCATGGAAGAGTTCACTCATGCACTATTGCTCAGTCTTAGGAGTTAACCAATCCCACAAGTGGAAACAAGATTCAACCATTCCAGTTAGATGCGGTGTGGCAGGTAAGTATAAGATGACGGAGACAATCTCATACATTGGTATTCTGCTCCTCCAGCATCTTATCAAAGATAGGTTTGAGCCATTCCTCCAGAATCACGTAGTTGTTATTTGGCACCAGTAGGTTCCCCGTCCTATTGATGCCCAATTTGCGTAGCTCCGCCCCCTTCCAGCGAGAGAAGTCACCCACATAGAAATTAGCCATGCACTTCACAAAATCCTCCTCCACACCTCCAGCCGAAGTCACCAACACATCAACCTAGACAGGCAAATAAGTAGATCCTTCCAACATTGATGTGAAGCTGCTACCCTGTGAAGTTAATTGGCCTTTAGACTATACAAGTGATATCCTCGAAAAGGGGTATGATTTTATGCACTGAAGCTCGTGATTAGGAGATTGGATGCTTCCAAACAGGTGATAATGGCTTATAAAATGGCACATTCCAAGCTTTGCCACAATAAATGTCGACACAGTCGATCGGGTTTTCCAATCCAGATGAGAATCGTGATGGTTACTTTATTTATGTCAATTATTGGCAATTTCAATCTTATAGGTTACGGTCCCCAAGCACAGGGTCTATGAATCAAATCGTACCGCTTGAGCATAAAATCTAATGAATATTTCGTAAAATAGTAAAGCTACATTTCTCATCATTAAAATACGTTCACTGAACACTGAAGATGGATGCCGGATGCCAAATGTGCATGACAAGTGATGTGGGAAGGAAGCAACTTACCATATTGTGCTGAACTAGGAAGCGAATAACCTCGCGCACACCCGCAGATATCATATTGGAGGTGTAAGCGAGGAAGATGGTGCAGCCGGAGCGTCGAGCGATGCCCAGCCCCAGACTCTCCAGCACTTCATTCGATTCTATCTTCTCGTCGCTCGGCACTACGTTCCTCCTCTCGATCTGAGGCATACAAAAGTGAATAAAAGTGCTCTTTGAATCCGACGGGGTCAAGTATGCGTGATAACTGGCTGTACCAAATCGTGTCACAAACTGATTGGTCTTAATCAAAGCAATGAAATAGATATATGATGTTTTTAACTTGAGAATGGTTACATTTCTCTAGTTTGCAAGCAGTATTTAAATTTGCCGAAGACGTTAAATGACAACTGGTGTCAACCAGAACAACAAAATACCTAAACTATGGTGGATGATTTCGCTCTGAGACCTTGGCAGCGAGGCTATTGAATTACACTTTTTAATTTATTTCTATGCCCATTAACCAATGCAATGAATTTCCAATTGGAACTCAAAAGCACTAAGTTACTAAAGCAGTAACAACCATCCATTACAAACCGGCAAATACAGATAAAATGAGCGCGGAAAATGTGAAGGCGAGAGGCAGAGGGGAGTACCACAGCGTTGAGGACATCAACGGCCCGTGCGAAGTGAGTGGCCTGAAAGCCAATACTGGCGTAGGAGGCGAGAAGCGCCTCATAGTTCACGCCTCTATTGAAGTCATAGCCGCGAACCTCCACGCTGACGCCCTCGGGCAGGGCCTGGCTCGGACGCAGTACCGCGTCACCGAAGCCGGGTGGAAGGGTTTGCACGATTTTGACGGATAGAGCTTTTTCGTCTCCTTTAGAAGCTTCGTCGCCACTCATAGCTAAATAGCAACGCAGATTTCACCTTTCAAACCCTCTTCTAAATAGCGCCAATAAATAAATTTGAGTATAAGTATAGAATAAGAATATTATCCTGTAGGAGTGCAGCCTCTATTAAAAATAAGTACAAACCGATTTGGCGCTATTTACTAAATCTGACCGAACACAAATTAATCAAAATACCAAAACGGTACTGATATGTAAGGAAGCCCTCAGCATGAAATTCTAGCCAGAGCAATGGCCGCACTTAAGTCAAACAGAACAAAAAGCCGCAATCGCCAAATGAAGCAGCAAATGAGCAATGAAATCCTAAACTGAAGGTTTTAAAATAAATTCTTGGAAGCAGGATGTTTCTGCAGTTAAGCCAGTATAATTCTGCAATTTCATCCTGCCATAGTTGATGCAAAGCTTTTAATTACAAAATTTGGAAGCAACAACAAACAGCTCGGCGGCGTTCAGTGCTAGAGCACAACGTGGAATTCATCATGAGTGCAACAAATCTGCAAAGTGTTACAGCAAGCAATGAACCAGCGCACACGTAGGGATAAAAATGAGAACCAAAGAGAGCAGCAGAATGAAATGTCTTTTGTGCAATCAATACTGGCTACAAGTGAAGAAGAAATATCAAGGAAGTTTCCAGTGTTCCAGAGAGACCACCTCCTTGTTAACCTGGTGGTCGGCTGCGGCCACGCCAGAAGAGGTGAGTTGTCCGCGGTAGGGCCCGAGAAGAGTGGCATCGGCCTCCAGAAGACTGATGGCACGTGTGTTCACCATGAAGCGGTTGGCCATCTCGGGATTGCGCAGACGCACACGCACCAAGCTACCGCGAGGGTAGAAGGTGTTCTCAGGCTGCGAAACTACTGCAAGGAACTTGCCTCCTACGTCTACGTAGAGGTCCGAATCATTCGCGTTCTCTATCACTACGCCAATCACCTACAAGCAGGGGAACGCAACATCAGATTTATACTCCCGCATGAAAAGACAAGTTGCAGTTGCATGGAGATTACGCGACCAACCTCACGCTGGTTGAAGTTGCCAAGCTGCACAAAAGTGCTCTCTCGAAGCATAGTAACAAAACTTTTCTTTTGAGGTGCAGAAGAAGTAGCAGTTTTAACAACCTTGTACTCTTTGACAAAGCGATTCGAGGTCCATGGGACAAGTCTAGGTGCCGAACTCTGGCGCCTCTTAATATCGTCAACCTGGAAAATGACAGTCCGACGATTACTTAGTAAGCATGCATTCAATATATAATATTTTTTGTGGTTTTCGAATAAGTTGCCTTTAACATGGGGTCAGAGTGATAAAATTGGCGGTAAAAGAAAGGGGAATATCATTATTGATAACAGTAGAATGAACCCTACTGTAAGAGAACACTTGTATTCAGTCAGACTTCAAAGCCATTAAAGTCGCGTGCTTGAAGCAAGACGGATTAAAAACAATTCAATAATAAACAAGTGCCTTTTTCGGAGAAGCAGGTGAAACAGATGGAGCAGTGGGGAGCTCAGAAGTAGAAAGCTGAGGAAGGACTGGTTTTTGTGAGACCAATTTTCCACTGTCCATTACCAGTTTCTCATCAGTATGCTCAAAAAGCCCGGGTAATTTGCCTTCACGTACTTTGGCATTGTTATCACATTCATCGCTGTCACCAGTTGATGAAAGAGATCGGAATTGTCGGATCACTGGGGCTCGAATATGGCTACCACGCCACAAAGTATGTTCTAGGCTAAAAAGCATTACAAGTAATTTTGGAAGAAATCAACGAAAACATACGCTTGACAACAATGCATGGAGCTGTGACGAAAACCGATCTGAAAGGAACTAAACCCAAAATGCTTCAATATTACTAGCCAGTGTAGCCAAAAATTCGTACTTGCGTTGGCATTCGAGAGATGAAGAATTAATTAAGTATAAGCAAATCCATCAAGCGCATATAATTGACCCTCTACACACGAATAAAGCAAACATCTTGTGTCAAATTCTACCCGAAACTGCTTTGCTGGTTTGTAAACATATCACAGTCATTTAGCCATCAATGCAAGAGCCTATCGCCGAAATAGTGAGCAAGGATTTAAAGAAGTACTGAAGACACATTCAATACGCAACCGTTAATAAGTGATAGAATACACTATGATAACCTGATGAAACCCAGATATCAAGCATTTATAACGATGAGCAAAAGCACAACCAGCTAGCAATATAAGGCAGACAAATTTATTTGCAAATTTAACTGCGAGTAGCATATGTGAAATTCACCTTGGAAGAGTATGACGTAGTGATAAGCAGTTAACGTTATTCATAGGAAAGTGCGATATAAAAGGTAACAACCAGTCCTATAATCTATGCTTATAAATACCTATTCGACCACGCAAAGCGCGCACGCGCTCTAACAAATGTTTGCAATCGGGCCACCATGACACAACGAAACGAAAACCAATGAGGAAATTGCTATTCCTCTCTGCAGCTGTGAGCGCCAAGGTCACATTGAAATCACGAATTTTTACGGTTGTGGTACATCAAAAACTTGATTAATTTTTCAAAAAAAGCCAATATTCTTTACTAACTTATTTTTTAATGAAAGTAAAGCCTTTGCAAGCCTAGCGATGGCTTTAAATTATGAGGCATAAGATACACTCCGAAAAACTGCCTAAATAATTTATTTTGTACACCAATATTCATAGAGTTGAACAATCCAGCAGCTTAGTAAAAATTTCTTTACCTAACCGATTCATCAACTACTAGGCTTATATCTTTTGCAGGCAAATATTGCATCTAATGACTGCCTCGCAGAAAGACACCTTTAATCCCGTTTGAAACGTTAGATGCAGATTTAAATATTTAGGCACTCATTGTAATTAATTTTATTTTTGCAATATCTCCTAGCGTTTATTATGTTCGCACAGGACTCAAGTCCTTTTGTCTGAATGCGTTCTGTGATTACCAACTAATTACATTGTATTCATGGTAAAATTTATTAAAGTTAATGTGAAATCTCAGTATTGTCACCACTCGCCAGCGCCAATAATGAAAATTCAGTTATGCGCGAAAACATGTGCACTCCTATTTTTGATAAATTCTATTAACTCCCAACAACCTCAACTTATTTCTTACTCTGCTGTACCCGTCAAAGAGGTAAAACAGGACAGTCTCACTTTACCGCAACATGAGTTGATCACTTTTTACCTTTTCGGCGACAATATGCAGATGGTTGATAAAATTGCATTCGCATTTAAAAGTGGAAGCAAAGGTGCCCACTGTGAAGATGACAAGTATGATCTCCTGCTCGATTTCGAAAAAGTTGACGACCGGTCGATTAAAGCTTATTGTCCCCGAAATCACTCCTACTATAATGGTGAAATTTACATTTGCTTTAAACATGACAATGGCAACGGGACATCAGTATGGACTCATCAACCAACTACTCACCCATATTCTTTTGTTTTCTCCACCTTTTTCATTTGTCTTCTGGGGCCGCTGCCGTGGGTCTTACTCGTGTTTCTCCTCTGCTGTTCCGCTTTATTTAGTGGTCTTAATCTAGGAATTATGACTCTCGATGTCATGTTCTTAGAAATACTGATAGAGGCCGGGACTGATACTGAAAAGAAAATGGCGGCGGCAGTCCTTCCTGTGCGTCGTCATGGAAATCTAATTATCTGCAGTTTGACTTTAGCAAACGTAATTGTTAATGTAATCATTTCACTGCTCTCTGATAAACTTATCGGTGGGACAGCAATGGCAATCTTTTTTGCGTCGGCGGGAATATTACTTTTTGGGGAAATTTTACCCCAGGCTGCTTGCAATCGGTTTAGCCTTATTATTTCCTATCATACCATATTTTTCACGAAACTGATAATACTTCTTACCTTTCCCATCGGTTTTCCGATCAGTTTGGCACTGGATAAACTACTAGGTGAAGACATGGGTAGAACTATGAATAAATCCAAATTGGCGGAGCTGATTAAACGGCATGTAATTGTTGTTAAAATTAACAATTTTTCAGGAGCATCTGGGCTTCGTCCACAAGGATGAGCTAAATATAATAACAGGCGCACTAAATATGGATCAGCGTACGGCAAAGGGCATTATGACACCTATCGATAATGTCTACATGCTACCCTACAACGCATTGTTGAACTTTGAAACCACAAACGACATAATCTCCCATGGATTTACGCGAATTCCAATTTATAAGGATGACAGGAGAAATGTCACTTCTGTACTAAATGTTAAAGACCTTGCCTTTGTAGACCCGAAGGAAAAACTCTCAGTATCGACTATTTGCAACTTTTACAATCGTCCATTCATATATGCTGGAGCAAGCACGACTTTAAAGTCCCTTTTCGACATGTTTCGTAAAGGTATTTAGTTTTACATTCTTTAGTGATTGCAGTCTCTTTAAGCTCTTTGTGCTTTTATATGAATGAAATATAACGCGTTGCATGGACATTGAGGGCGGATTTGGGGAAACTAAACACCACTAATATTTCAAGTTCTCATGTAAACGTCACAATTTTGGAAAAAGAATCATTTAGTAAACTTGTCGATTTACCACTTTTTTCCTGATTGTTTGGTATTTTTAAGCACAGAGTCCACCCACTTCGCTGTTGTTTACGAGGAAGAGGGATCCGAGCATCAGACGGTGGTGGGCATCGTGACGATGGAGGATGTAATCGAAGAAATCCTTCAGGAGGAAATATTTGACGAAACTGACATTATAAGTAAGGTTTCCCCGTAGAAAGGCGTACACCACATTCTGTATTACGCCTTTGCATCATATGTCAAGTGTTAAGGAGGAAGCAGTGTCTGAAGATGTGAAAGGGACATTCTTTGTGGAACATAACCGGACATACATGAATGTTTAAACATGTGTATTCTCATGTGGCTATTCTTAACTAAAGTTGTGAATAAGTGAGATAAATATATCGTGGTTAAATGAGTAGTATTTTAAACAATTTAAATGCTACTTTATTATTATTAGAGGTTTTAGCAAATAAAAGGAAATCCATTCTAAAAGTAATCCACCGCATTATACAAGACGGACACTACCACGCTGTCTCGTCGTAGACTATGATGGTTATCAGCTTTCCCCATCCACGAGAGTTGTTCTATGTATTTTAGACGACACTGCATCTCGCAAAAGGCGTAATCCTCGATTTCACACAACAGATCTGTGGCCATTTTTCAGCCATCAAAGTGATGGCAAGATATCACCGCAGCTTAAGATCGCTGCTTTGCGCTATTTGGTTGCGAGTAGGTCTTGTTTCATCATTTATCATAATTTCCATGTTTTCTGAATAGACACTAATTGTACGTATGCATCGAATCTAATATGGCAGTTGGAGTGCCCTTATCCACAATTACCTTACATACGCCATCTTTTTCCTGATTTCAGATACAACATATTTCGCCCCCAATTACGTCCACAGCACTGTTCTTCAAGGTTTCCTGAACACCTCATTCGCCGTGCAGCACGACTACAAGTAGGCACGAAAATATCTTCGGTTGAGAATCTCCTTATTTCCGCACGTATTCTTGCATATCTTTAGTATTAAAAGCCAAAACTGTGTATAAATACCATCTAGACGGCCTCATTGCTAAAACCTCCCACTTCTGCCCAATTAAGGTACTAATAAGCAGTGTTGCTTTGTGGCAAATCGCAGTTAAGGCAATAGTCCTATTAGTGCAACATTATAAATTGCAAACAAATTCCTGCATTTTGTCCGTATTTCTGATTTTACAGTCATTTGGTTGCCGAGAGTAACACTATCTACCGATCACATGTGCCGAGCGCCGTGGCAATCTTCGTTCTGCAAGGCACACTGCAGGTCAGTGTTCACGATGACCACCTACAATTCGAAGCAGGTGCCTTCATGATGTTTGGTGATGATCTCTTCGCCAGTAAGCTACCCTCCCCCATTCTAAATAGGTGAACTTAGAGGCCCATGTTTATAAGGTCAACCGAAGTCATGCAATAACCCCTATTCTCATTATAGTGATACCTTTGCATTGTTGAGGTCCCAGATACCGCATAATATAGCTATCCGTCGAAAAATAACTGACATTTTCATTGCAGCACTCTCAACTACCAAAAGCTTCCCTTTCGGGAACCTATGAGAGTTACTAATATTAGTCCATTGGCGTTGCATACATCAAGCAAATTGCGACGAGTTTCTACCGCAGACGGTCAAACATGAAGCGAATGCGTTTTTGTAACTAGTGTATTTGAATGTATGCTCCCATGCAGTGACAGAGACGTTTTAACAACCACGCAGACGCAATGTTCCACTTTGCATTTTTTTTTTTAACATCAATGCGTTGACCCAAAATACCAACACAGTGAAAGACGCAACGGTAGTGTTTAGTCGGGCTCAGGCTGCAGTCGGCTGAGCTTGCTTAGTAATTTCTTCCTTATCGACAGCCAAGTACTGACGTGTCTTGACCCTTCAGACGTCAATGAGCGATTTCCTCAATTCAGTGAAGAGTGGAACTTGGAGAAAATTCTCCAAGACCTTGGCGACAAGACTTATTTCGAGCCTGACTACACTGTAAAAATGGCTACTGACCTGCGATGCCTCGAGTGTACAGCTGAAGCCTACGTTGTACTGCGGTACTTAACTCAGGAATTGGAAAAATGTAAGTCTTTAAACCAATACCATCTAAAATTTGTGTTGTTTATCGGATATAAAAAGGCCCTGTCAATTTTTAAAAGGGTCCAAATATGGACCTAGAACAGCAGACTATATAACCAGGAAATAATGCGGAAAATCGACTAAAAGACTAGTATCCACCTATTTGTATGCTAAGGATTAATTCCAAGAGTGGTAACCAAAGTCACATCGTAAAAAAACTAATATAAACGATGTGCTTAGCATCCAAAACTCAAAAAAACCAAAATTACGCCCAGTGGAGACATCCTAACAGCACTGATGGAACACCGTCTTAACAGACGTTAATTCGGTAACGGCGCGCCGTTTCTTGCAGGTAATCTGAGCGACCAAAATCAGAAACAGATTGTAGAACTATTCCAACGCTTCTGGAAAGTTCGCAAGTACCGAGGCCTAAAGCTGGCCTGTGACAACATGGGAGTCCGTATTCTGGAGCCACTACAGACGGAGGAAGATGTGGAGGAGACGGAACACTCACACGAAAGGGCTATCCCGAACTCCTCCACGCCACCACCGCCGGAGACAACCCTACAGACCGCCCATGAGTCAACAGCAGCAGAACGCTACTCCGTCGGAAGAACCAGCCCTCAGCGTCATGATAGGCGCAATTTCACAAGAACTAACAATTGGAGACTGGCAAGTAGTCGCCGAGGTTTCACGCATGGCACCTTGAACTGGGGACGAAAGAGCCGACACGGCTGAAGTAATGAAGAGCCAAGTGTGCATTCAGAATGATCACCAATATTTTATGCACAGAATGTGTCTTGATTTAACAGAGGCGCCATGGGGAAATATCTATACTAGCAATGTATTAGCATCGTTCATGAGTCGGGTGTAAACAGGAGTATGAGGAGTGAAGGGATCACAGAGAGCCGTTAAAAAATAATTTATTGCGGATGCGACTAAACCATACAATCTCTTTCTGCCAGTAAATATCCTTAGCGTTTCTCGATAGTACGAAGTTGACTCCTCTTTAATTTCTTCAGTTTCATCATGTTTTTAATCTAAAAGGAGAATGGGTGCCTGATGATTCCGATGGACTAGTTGATTTATTATGAGACTAACAAAAAATCAAATCATGTGAATTAAACCAATTTCATGTTTTGGCTACAACTGGGGCCATTAATAAAATCGTTATGAGATCTCAGGGCTTTCCTCCGCTCCCTAAATCAATCTCAATGGTGCATCATAATACATCGCGTTGTGATAAACAAGCAAAGAGGGCTTACAGGAACAACAGTTTCGGCTCGTCGTTCATTTTCTAGACGTCGCCGCTTCCGCTCTTCCGTGGCCAGGCGCCGAGCCTTCTTGGCACACGCACGCGCTTCTCGTCGGTTCGCTTCATCTAGGCAACGCTGTTTGCGCTCCTCCTTGAGAAGCATTTTCTTTTCCCATGTTGTTCTTAGCCCCGTGTCCTTACGTATGGATGAATATCTATCGTTGAAACAAGTTACCAAGGTAAAAGACAACCCCTAGTACGTATTGAATATGTTCAAGCGGCAGCACAGTAGAGCAAGACTCCTCGCATTGGAAACTTATAATTCTCAAACAATATTGCCCAAATAGAAGGGCATAACGATTGCAAAAAACACAACACAAAGTACGGTACCAACCAACCGTTGTTTTCGGACCGTTTTCCAGACTCGACCGGATTTGGGTTTGCCACGAATTGCTGCGGTCTTCGTCATCGGGAATCTATAATAACATTTAGAGACAAGGAGTCAATGAATTTAGCAAAATACATAAAATAATACCTTAAGCAAATTTACTTGCACAAAGCAGTCAACAGAGAACTAAACGAGACATGAACCAGATAGTTTAATTACATAGTGCTCCGTGTGAAACCCAAAAGTTAAATCCCCAAAAAGAAAGCCACAAGGAAATAACATAAGTAATTTCATATACGAAGAGCGAATTGCGGATAACAAGAGTTGAACTAAAGCAATCTAGGAGTAAGCTTAACTCGTTCATTATAAGAGAAATAACACGGAATCCTAGTAAGCCGCGACTCACGCGGGCGCAAACAACCATTTGAGCGGTTAAGCTCAAAGGTGCGCATTCCTGAGAAAAAAGATAAACAAGCATCACATAAAACTCTAATGCGACTCTCTAGTACTTGAAAGGCGTTTTTTGGCGTAATATTACTTGCAAGCATAAAAATATTCAACTGTGGACTTTGGGAGGTGTAGCTACTAAGCTCTAATCAAAAATTTAATGCAAGCAACTGATTAACATTGTGCTTTTTCCCTGTTGGTGTCCTTAGTGCAAATTCCGTTTTAATTCCTGCTTTATCCGTATAAATGGCTTTTCTTGAATCCATTGAACTACTTTTAAGTCGAATACAATTGAGACTTTGGCTATTGCTCCCCATTCCTTATAAAATCACTGCATAAGGTTTTCGATATTTCACCTCAAATACTAAAATAGTTCTCCTTATTTGTCGATGCATTTGTTATAAATAGGTGAATCTCTATTCACTACATCAGCTACACCAACCAGCGAAAGCGAGTTCCTCCTCGCCTTAGCACTTGGCAGTTTGATATTATGCTAAATGTATTTACACCCCAAGTTTACTTCGGGCGCTCTATACTCCAACAAATACACTCATACATAGTAAATAAAATAGTAAATATCATGCACTGTGTTTTAGCTCTTTGGTGCAGAACAAGGCTCATACTCTTGGAACACTTAGGTTGATTTGATTTCGTCATGCTTATTGGGTTAAGTAAACGGGGAGAGTGGGTACGGGTTCTAGGAGGTTTGGTCTCGGAACCTTTCCCCGTATTACTAAACGGTAACCCCTGCTCGGTGACAAGGTTCGATCCGTTTGTCCGCCCCCTTCCTAAAAGGAATATCTAAACAACATAGGTATTACGTTAGTAACCCGGGTAATGGTGTCTACCTCTTTTTAAGCCCACTTTTGAGGCAGCCTTTTGTATAACTTTAGTCGCATTCCACATCAATAGCAGTTACCTCTCTATTGACTACATATGTCGACGTTTTTAAGAAAAAGGCTATTACTTTAACGTAATCCACACTTGGGCATAAGGAGGGTTCAATTTAACAAAATATAAAAAAACTCATAATCCGTGCAGTTAAACCAAACACCAAACCACTGCACTCGCTTTTACAATGCTTACTGTAGTGTTGCTAGCATTATGCGTTTTTACTCTAAGTGTCTGTTCCCTTCACCAGTGACTGCCACGTGTTTGGTTATGAGAAGTATTCGAAGTGATTCAGAAATAGCAACTGAGCTTTAGGAGAAATTAAGCTAGCTTTTCTGTTGCCTGTTTTCTATTTTCTTCTATAGCGTGTAATCCGATTTAACGCTTCTCATACGTTCCTGAATAGAGTAGCACTGAGTTCATGCTATGAAGCAGATTTTAAGAAAGTACCGGCAGCAACTTTATTTTGGTGAACCTTTAACTCCTAGCATTAAAACAACACGTAAATACTTTTTGTGAAGAAAATATACCCTATTTCTAGCAGTTCTTTTCTTTTGCTTCTTTTTATTTTTTCTTTAAATAGGATCACCTGGTACGATCTCATGGTTACGTTTCAGCCACAACTCAAAAGATCTACTCAGGTATCAGCTCAAAGACCGCTATTGGCTTGTAGGCTTAACACATCACAATTGTTTGAATAATTTTGCACCTTTTTTTGATAATTAAATTTGATTATTATGATATTGGCTAACTGTATCTAGCCCGTAGGAGCTGCATAATTTCGTGGTATTTACGCTCCTCAGGTTTAGTGCAAGTAACGGTAATCCTGACGCCTTATTCCTTTAACGCGAAGAAGTCAGCATAAACTTGTAACTCCTGCACCAATTTGAGGGTTGGTGTGTTTGTATGAACCAAAAGCATGGGAACAAAAGGAAACGAAACGGTGAGTTTATAAGCACCACAGATAGAACATAGGGGATTCAGAGGCCAAGCTCCAGTTGAACTTTTCGCGAAAATCAGAAGTGCTAATTAAGCTGCCTGCTTATGCATTTAGATTACTTGATTAATACTGTTCACTGGTTTAATGGGCTCATGGCCGCGTTTCCCACGTAGAACAATTTTCTCATTATCATATCTTTCCTTGTGTAAATGAATTAGTACTTTATTTACTCCTCAGATCAGGCGCCTTAATGACAAGTAAAAGAAAATGAGAGATGGCATTTACTCTCTGGTGAAAAGTTTCCACATTTATGGCACTCTTGGCCAATTCCTTTTTATATCTACGCATTTAAGTTGCAGCCTGATCAAAAATGGTGTATAAATTCCACTCCCGAGTATCGGTTCATATAACAGTTGTTACATCTATGATTCCAATTAATTGCAATGAACTATTGACGAGGATTTCATTTGTGAACCTTTCGTCTGTTTTGAAAATGATACTGACAGTTTATCCCTTGTGCCGTAACCCTGGGTTGATATATTCACCCTAGAGCTCGTAATGTTGTCACGCCCCTCCTGCATCGTGTCTCTCTCCACTCAAAGTTGTTATTTAATAGGCTCTGTGCTTCTCTTTTTCCATCTCTGCCTTCATATTCTTTGAACGAGTGAACGAGCTGGATGAGGCTGTGACTTATTGGATAGCGATACATTGAGGAGTATGAATATTACGGATGGCATAGGATGCGTCGACGTGGCCGGGACTTTCTGACCGTCTTTTTTCCTAAAAGGTACACTGAAGCAAACAAATTTGTAAAACGTTTATTTTATTGGGTAGCCTCTTCCGTGATTTCATTAGTAAAATCAAGAAATGATTCTGAATATGAAAAAAATCAATGCCATCTTGTAACATTACGGTTCGATTCCCGTTTCAATGTGAGAGACATGAACACTCAAACATTAGCTACTCTGCAGCTCCCCGAGAAGAAGACATGCTACGCTGGTATAATATGTATTATAGGCGTACAGAAGGACTTGGGGTCTTCTAGCATGACCCTGAGGTCAGACAGCCCGACGGAGGTACATTAACGGAGCCCCTAGGCAGCCTGTTGCAAAAACTGAGAGCTAAACAAACAATTACAACAGTACGTAGCCCCTCTCCTCTTTAAACATCGTCCTCAGTGTCCCTCTTGGTCGACGCCTCACCTTCGCAATTACAACGTAATCAGCACTGTAATGGAAGCACCCACGAATCAACCGTGCCAGTCATTGAACTTCCATGCAACTAAGCAGGTACTTGACCGCAACGCTAGTGATCTTCTTGTCAATTTTATCAGAAACGGAGTTTCTGTTCTATACGGGAACTGCACGTGCTGATCATCACGCATGTCCATAGCTAGCTGCAGTAACTGGCCTAAACGCAATCATATAACAAAAGACGGAGTTTGAAGTAGTTTTATGGGGATAATGTTTCGCGTCTATTCCTTTATGTCAGTTTGTTATAACTTCAGAACTACCTAGCCATATCTACCTAAGCTCTCCCCAGCTGGTGGGGGAGCTATCGCGTGTCCACATAACTAACCTCTTTATACAGGTACCATAGATGGATCCATAACAATCTTTCCTAGATGGTTTACAGCTAGTGTCGCTTCAGCTGTTAATAGCCTTTCTGTAGGTCATAGGAATGAAGTAGTTGCCGAAGGAAGACGCCATTTTCAGTCCTTCTATCATGGACCGTAATACATTCTCCCACCCGTAGAACATGCACCACTTCTACCCCGCAGTAGAAATCAGGGTAGTTTTCCTCTAATATCGGGTTCACCTTGCGCTGCCACCAACGTAACGCCCTGAGACAGACCTGAAAGCGAAAGAACTAATGCTGGTGCAGAGTTTGTATTGTCGACGTACGGAAGGGCTTGGGGATACTGGCATGGTCCGAAGGCCAGACCGCCCGGCGGAGGTAAGATGGCGGCCCCCCCAAGTGACCCGTTATTAAAACGGAGTGTTAAATGAGAAATTTGAGTACTACAGCTATGGCTTCATCAACTGTGTATTTTTTGCGCACCCTATTCGGGATGGCGATTCTCTTTTAATGGATTTAATGTTAATAGGGCTTTAGTTCCATGAATTTTAATTGTCGATTTTGAGACAATACACTTTGGTTTTAGTGTAGTGAAGCACAGGGTAGGCGAAACACTTTGATACAATCCATGTGACTGAGAACGCATTGTTTATTTCGGTCACTGGGTTCCCCGATTTTTGTAGACTGCAGTATGCAGGATACAAGCAGACAACACGTCTCTGCTGCATTGAAAGCTCGCTCGGAGGAGCCACAGGCGAGAGAACGCCAGACAGCAATCCTCCCCACTTTCGTGCGCTACGGATAAAACTCACAAAGAATCATGTGACGCTGTGGGTGCTTCTCAGTAAATAGAAGCATCAAAGCCTGACAAGTAACTAGGATGCGTTAGAGGTCCATAAACTGTATAAGTTGACGAAATATTAGTTCACGCAAAAGGCAGTCCTCGATATTTTCCACAAAAGTGGGTTTTAATTTCAATTGTGTTAATGCGCATGTAGACACTGACCTGCCATTCAAAGTAAGTTTACAAACCAGAGGAATGGGCCACGTGACTGGGTGAGAAGGCGATATGGGGCAAGGTGCGCTCAGGCGCTGGTTGAAGGGCGATTACTGGCCGCTGGCGGCACTACGAGCACAGGCACGGAAGCGTGCGTGACAAGGTGGTGGGAGACGCTACCGAGAGTTGCGCGTCTTACAGCGCCGACGCCGCGTGAGCCCACGATAATGAGGTTGGCCCCGTGCTCTGATGCCAGGCGCAGTATAGCCTCTGCAATCGAGGAGTCAGCCAGGATCTCGATCGTGTAGTTCACCCCCGCCTGCTCCGCCAGTTTTCGGAACTTCGCCTCCACTCTTTGGCCATCATCGACACTCACTGAGCCGTCCTGCACTGGTATGTTAATCAGGTTGTCCAGAGCGATAACGGCATTACCGTGAGTGTATTTGGGTTGTAGAACGTGAATGAAGATGATGAAGTCATTCTCGCGGTAACAATATTTGAGGAACCAATTGAATGCCCGGTGACAGTTGGAACTGCTATCCACAGGCATGACTATACGCCTTCCGGGTTGGGTGGCGCTCATGGTAGTGAATGCTGTATCGCTCTGAGAGAGTTTGGTGCGGCAAATGAAGTGGCTCACTGATTTTGTTACTCAAGTACCTAAATCTTTATGCTTGGAGAAGACCACAGACGAATTAACCAATGTCATTGCTCAAGTGGTCACACCCACCAACTGTTATTCGAGGGTGGATCGGGACCCCACCAATCACACTCTACGATTGAATCTTCATTGCTTTTTTTGTCTAACAAGAAACCCCGTTAAATCACTATCTACACGGAATCGTTGAGTTATCTTAGGTGCTTGTTTAGGCGCTTAAATACCATCATCAAAGCATAGCACTTAACTCATGCATATTTACATAGTTTCCGAAGTAAGCTTTTAATACTGTCTTGCACTTTAAATAAACCAGATTTATCCCTACCAAATTCCCACATAAGAAACCAGCTAAATGCGTTTTAAGAGGCTTATCCTTCTTCTTTACCGCTACGGACTTCTTTAGAACGGCTGAAACCAAAGGAATTATTCAACACTAGTAATAATTTTCCTGATGTATGACATTAGTTTCACTTATCTTCAAAAAGTTGACCCACGGCTAAAAATCTACATTGGTTATATTAAGCTAATAGAAACCATGGGCATCATTCATGGCACTGCATTTACCTCCTCCATCAGACCAGTGCAGGAAAATATAAAATTTACTAACGTCTTTGTAAACCCTATTATTTCCATATTTTGTACTATAAAATAATCCCCCGCATACGATTCCATCTGTCCTAAATTCGACCCTATTTTAGAGAGTGCAATGCGTTGGTTGTTTAACTCTCGGTTTGGATAAAGGCGACAGTCAGGTGCTCCGCCATTGTACCGTCGTCGAATGGGCTGGCCTCCAGACCATGCTAGTAGCCCCAAGCCCCACTGTGCGTCGAACATGTATATCCTATCCGAGTATTTTGTCTTCCTTCGTCTTCACTGCTTCGGTTTTCGTGTTCAGGAACAACTTCGCCGCTTTGTATCAAATTGCTACCATTAAATTGTTCTACTGAAACCGCTAGAGTATACAGTAGCTTCATCTGGAAGAAAGTGCTCCCATCTGATGCCAATTTAACGCACCAGCAAAGCCCTTACGACTCCGGTAATAGAATTCCACTTAATCTGTCCGTCAATTATGCGTCCATGACAGAAGATCCAATTGGAATCAAAAAATGATCTCCTTCCATAGTCTAACGCGATAAAAGTAAGGCGCTAAGTCCATGCCTTTATGTCTACATAGGTAGTGAGGACCTCATCAGGAAGACTGCATAACAAGGTTTAAAAGTAATTTCGTCCACACATCTGGATCGACTTTGCATAACTAAAGTACTAATTAACATTGGTTATTTAGCTTCCCTGAAATCCTTTCAAAAAACCCCATTATTTTTCTGATCAAAGCGATCTAGAATACACCGCGACTCAGATTGTAAAATATAGTGGGTTATTCTAGTGATCTCAATTTACTTTACTTCAAGTATAACTTGTGCTAGAACAATCACAAAATGACTACTATTGCAAAAAGATAGGAATGGAACACGGACCAGAATGCGTTACGTGTAAGCAGCCTCGGCATGCAATGGAAATGGCAGGCGATGTTCATCGTTTACATCATGTGATCCGAAAGTAGCACTTTGGGCGAATCAAGTGTGCGATAATTTAATACCCGACTGTCTTAAACTCCCTTCTTGGCAGTGTTGGGTAGTCCGAGGGCGTTGCAGATTTGGGGAACCCCGGCGGCACCTGGCAAGTGTGATAGTACAGAAAGAGCTTGATCTCACCTCCACCATTGTGACCCAAATTATTAACCTCAGCCATGTTTAAGAATATGCGCTTTAAAATCCCTAATCGAAGCAGTAGGGGGCAAAATTGCTATTAAAATCTTCGGAATTTTGGTTCATTAGCGATCTGCTCTACTTTATTTTCTGTCTTTAAAAGAGGCGGAATAGTGTCAACCTTTCAGATATTATGCACATTTGAACAAGCTCCATGCAGTCAGTTAAAACTGGCATTGCTTTAAACTGTGGCACGGCTGTCTCCAGAACTCAAAGATACCTGAATTTTCATATTGTCAGGGGCATCTGTGAACCCGTTATAAACTGCGAATGCGGAACCCTTCAACCATAGCAACAGCTTGCCCGGTAGCAAGTCTAAAAACCTGGGATTTTCGTATTGTCACTTGACATTGCGAAGTATAGCTTAATATTTGCTCACCAAGCAACCTGTGAACGTCTAACTTGTGAAGGACCTAGAGAATGAGCTGATGCGAGTGGATCTCCAGAAGTGCAGTAGGATTGCTACCGGTGCAGGTAAGCAGTCATCAGAATTGGTTTAAACAAGAACAACTCATTCCGCTTCCGTGAACTTGACGGCATACAGTGCGGTTACCTTGCCAAGGTTGTGCTTTAAGGACGAGAAGAGGTAGCGAGGGGGATCTAGGCCGAACCTGAAAGAAAAATTAACAAATGCATGTTGAGGAATTAAAAACAAAGTCCGTTCCCGATTTTCCACTAAAACATTCATTCGTTCCCATTCCCTGCTGACAAACAATCTGTACCCTTGACGTACACTATTTGAAGGATTCAGAGAATTCTTCAGCAATAAATCAACTTTAGGTTTCATTTTGTAATATGAGTAGAGAGGGGAGGGAGTAGACTACCCTGCCTTGAAGGGGATAGAACTAGTAAGCGTGAAGCCAATCGAATAATGCACATTTATTTTGAATTATCGAGAAAAAAAACAGGCGAAGAAAAGGGGAGGGAAAGGGGATGAAGAGGAGGCGGAGAGGACTGTCCGTGGGAAGAGATGAGACATTGTGGCAACAAACGTTAGGATATCAGTAAGGGAGCAGTGATTGCGCACGAGATATATTCAAGCGGCGGCGGCAGCAGCAACGGCAGTGGCGGTCGTATCTAAATGGCATAGGGAAGTGTAGGGTACACCTACACACGCACGCATCTAGCTGCACACAAACACGCAGAAATACAAGAAGACTAGGAAGAATAAAGAGTGCGTGCGCGGACAATAGACAAAATCATGTACAAAAGTGAAGGTGGTGGCGTCGGCCGTAGCAGTGAACACAGCTTGTGGGTCTTACGTAACGCAACCGGGAGAGAAGAATAACCGACTACACCACCAACCCACGCACAACACGTATGCACACACGCATCCGTTCTCTTCAAATAAGGCGGTGGACAGTGTGAAGCTGCGGCCACTGCGACTGCTTATGTTGCACAACCTCCCTGTGCTATTGGTACTTCGTATCTGACAGTGGTCGCGTCAATTGAGATTGTGAAATAAGTCCGCAGGAGCACAGGGAACGGAGCGATAGAGTGGACACGGCGGCACAGGCACCATACAAGAGGAGGGATGTGCGATGGAGAGAGGTGGGAGAGGAGAACAGGTGGGCAGGGTGTGAGACAAGACAGGGAGAGTTAGACGATGCGAAGACGGTGAGGGGAGAGACTACTTTCCTTTGGGCTTGGTGCCTCGTGGCGGAGTCATTGGTCTACTTCCCCCACCAAATGTGGCGTATGGTTTCTTCTTCTCCGCCGGTCGCAAGATCTAAAAGATGCGGCAGTCCAACCTCAAAGTCTACTGACATCCGCCTAACTTTCCTAAGTATTAATTATCTTTCGCTTTATGTTCTCTTTTACTTTGACAATAATAAATGGCACTAAATTGCCATTTCAAGCTCGCCCACACAGCACTGCACATGAGACCATCTGATGAAACCTGCTCAAGGACCGCCATTAGGAAGCTAGCTTTCTCAACATATTGTTTACCATTGCATTGATAAACCCATGAATCGCTTATAAAAATAAGTGCTTTAGTGTACAGCGAGCTGCTTGGTTAGCAGACATCCCCAGGTTAATTAAAACTTCGCATCAGGGCATATAACGTGCCTGGAAAAACCCCCTTCCGGAATCAATCGCTCCCGGCAAACACTGAAGCTGGGCTCGAAATGACAAGCAGGAAGTAGTTTTACCAAGTGTTATTGCGCAATTAAGTGTCGCAAAAGAGGCGATAAAATATCATAGGTGTGGAAATTTTCTATACCCTATTGAGCGCAATATTAGAGAAATACAAAAAAGCCACAAATTATTGCTTTGAAAAGCCTAATCTTCTCGTGACTACTACCATAGAAGCATTTGCATTTGTAATTCAATCATTTCACCTGCCTATCAGGAAACGATTCACGAGTTGGCAACAAAAGTTTAGAAGGATGCCATCTATCAAGTTTGTGAGCAAATCAAAGAGATGCCAGACATGGTATAATACGATTCAATCTGGAACAAATAACCACTGGCATCACCTCCCAAATCTTTCAATCACCACGCCATACTTAAGTGAAACGACAAATTTAACGCGTCACACGTAAACAAAGTGAACATTACGGCACGTAAATCCATCAATATCGGCCTTGAAAAGACTTCAAAATTCACCACTACACAAAGATGTTCAAGGAAAGATCAATTCAACCAAAAAAAGTGGTAGTGAAGCATGAATGAATGAATGCGGTATCGACGTGACACAATGTGAGTAGTGACAGTGGTCAGTGGTTGGTTAAATTTGCATGTAGTTTCACATAAGGCAAGCATATTCCTTTTCACTGCAAAAAAGATTGAAAAAAGAACAAAATCACAGTCGGCACCAACAGCAAATGAACTGAATTCCCATCACTACTACCGAAACCCAGATGCACGCTTGTACTCCCGGTAGATTTAGTACTTCAACGTTTATCAACTAGGAACGATAAGTTGTAACATTTTAGAAAGGCATATCTTCTAAGAAAGCCGGAATTATGCTAAAAGAGAGGGAAGTAGTTATACTCCAGACACCAAATCTGGAAATAAGCAGCGGGTCGTGTGAATTCAGAGCGCAGGAGTGTGGGAAATATCATTTGTACTACAAACTAGCACATAAAACCATAAAAATGACAATCTCAACTGTCGTTGTCCCGTGGTAACAGACTGAAACAAAACCAACCACGC